ATCTTCATGGTTTCAAAGAGTTGGACTCTCTTCCTCTGAGCTATGTCTGGCTAAAAGCAGTAACCATGTGGCTCCCACCAGCCATTAGCTAGACAAGAATTTAACATAAAAGCACTTTCTTTTGAAACCCTTTGTGTGGATGTTTTTCCCATTATTAAGGACAGAACAGCAGTGACAGGAAATGAGAGAGGAAGAGACACATGTAACTGTAAATGTTACACGATGTGTCTCTATAAAGTCGGCGCCAATAAAATATTCAAGTTTCCAAAGTCCAAAGACTTTAATTCCAGTTTTTCTATTTGCTTTAAGGACTGACATAATGAAAAAAGTAAAATACAGCAGAGGCTGATGGGAATGCCAATTTTTTTTTATGGTATTTGAGGATTTAACAAAATGTTTTTGAAAAAACTTTGGCCTCAATCTCATGGTGCTGGATTTAAAATAAGGGCCTAAGGCATGAATGTGTGCACCAAATTTAACAGTACACAAGCCAATAATTGTTAAGCTAACTTATAAAACATTTCAACCGATGTTACCGCTTTTAAACATGCTAAAGAAAAAACAGTAACCTCTGCAGTTAGACATCAGTACACAAACACACTTTCTTTTTTATGTGGATTTTTTTCTACAAGACAAAGGTGAGAGAAAATGAGAGATGGCTTTCAGCTGTTATGTTTTTTCATTTTTATTTTTTACAGCCACGTGTCTTTCCTGTCCATAACTGAAATGCTGCAACCATTACAAAACAGATTTTCTAGAGTCAGACATGTTTTAGGTGGAAGTCTGACCAAACTTCAGCACACTTCTTCAAACTCGCCGATTTTTACCTGCAGGTCAAAGTTCCTGAGGGATCAGTGGATGTGTGAGAAAGGCTTCCTCTGCTTGGACGCTCAAATGGACCCAAAACCCTGGTAAAAAACACCATAATAACAAAACACCCCGAATCAGCTATAGCTTATACCCCTCAGAGGAGGTATGACGGGGCAGGTTGGTGTTAAAACCTCTGTTTTTCCGTCTTGCAGGTGGTGGAACCGGACTGTTCAGAGTCTACACCTGTCTGCCCCCCTCACCATCACACATTCTGTGTCCTGCCAGGAAACCATTGAGATCCTAAAGGAGAACTCACTGGATCAGGCACCAGTCGTCACTGAGTCAGGGTATGTCTCTTCTTCTCAATATCAGGTTAGTATTATAAATGCCAGGCCTGAGGCTTCCTGAGCCTTGGTCCCTGTGGGACATGGGACAAGTTCCTGCCTTCCTGTGAATGTTGGTACTTGGCAGTTCTTGGTTGCCTGGGGTCCTGTCCTTGACTCGTGCCAGGATGACTGCCCTCTAGTGGACTTAACTACTCATTGCCTCTGGTCAATTGATTCAGCTTGCTAAGATGTGTGTTGTAGTTTAAAGATGTGAGTGGGCAGCTGGACGTCTGATGGGTAGATACACATACATTACAACCCTGTCCCTCCAGTGTAAATCCCCATGTGAGGTATCCTTATTTGAGTGTGTAACCATATAAGTTGGATCTCGTCTCAAGATAAACTCTAGTTAAAAACTACATTGATTAATCGTCCAGTTTGGTTACCCATTTTTTAATCTTGACATTTGGTTGAAATAAGCAGACAGAGACATGATGGGTTAGTCTTCTCGTCACCTGAGTCTGATGGGAGTTTGTGGGTTTTGTGTATTTCCACAGGGCCATCCTGGGAATGGTGACTCTGGAAACCATTCTGTCCTCTCTGTTGGCGGGGAAGGTTGAACTTTCAGCGGCTGTTAGCGCGGTGCTCCTCAAAGCCTTCAAACAGGTCAGTCAGAGAGTGCAGAGCTCTTCATGGCGACCTTTGATGACATAATGAACGTTTTTACACGCTTGTTTAATCTTCCTCCACTTGTGCTTTCAGGTGCACCTGACAGACGACCTGGGGAAGCTTTCCCATATCCTCAAAACTGATAACTTTGC